TTATCTTTTGTTCTCCTGAAGAAGAATAGTCAACTATTCGAAAACGCTCGAGTTTTGGGTCTTATTTTAAGTCTATTACTTTAATTAATGATGCCGAAACAACAGTCTGCTTAGTGCTGTAACATAATTCCTAGCAAGACACTATTAATGTAAGCCTACTATCAACACAAAATATGTGCATTTACAGTTCGTCAGAATAACACCATACTAAGCAAAATATATTGGAATTATTAAAAATAAACACCGTTAATGAATTTCAAGTGTACTGACAAAGATTAATAGATAAATACCCAAAATACCGATCACCTGTGGTGTAAACTTCAACTCTTTGTACGTAAGCACCAGCGGGAAAGCAAGTACGAATTTTAACAATTTTCATAATCATGACGAATTACTTAATTTATAATAATAATTATAATAACACAAGGTACTTTACATAATTAATTATAATAACACAAGGTACTGAAGCACTCACGGGTTTTGTTACTGATAAAATATGCATAAAACATCAATGTAACCAAGGGGGGATTATATTTTATACAATAACCCGTGGTGCGCAAACTGTGGGCGCGTCCCCCCAGGGGGGGGGGGTCCGTACTGAGCGTACAACTAGGACTGTAAAAGCATATAAATTATGTTTGAAAGTAAGAATTTAAAAAATAAATAAGTTTTAAAAACTACTGTCCAAATATTACTAGTGTTAAATGATACAGTAATATCATTCAACAAGGGAAAACCACATGTACAGTAAAAACACACAGGCTTAAAAAAGGATCGCTATAAATAAAAGAGAACGGTCGTAACTAACAATTACCTTCAAAATTGATGGTGAACGGTTGATGGGGATCCAAAATTTCATACTTGCAGATGTCGCTGTACTTGGGAGTGCAGTCGTCATCTCGGGCTTCTACTTGGACGATGGTGTCGTACAATCGCTCTTCATCAACGTCAACTGTGTAGGAATTCTGCAGAAACTTGGGAGCAAACTCGTTGACATCTTCCACAGAGAGATGCACTGTAACACTGGTTGGGAGAAATTAATTTATGTAGTCTTTGTGTGAACATTGTATTACTCGTTGACATCTTCCAGAGAGAGATGCAGTGTAACACTGGTTGGGAGAAATTGATTTATGTAGTTTTTGTGTGTGTGTGTGAACATTGTATTACTCGTTGACATCTTCCACAGAGAGATGCAGTGTAACACTGGTTGGAAGAAATTAATTTATGTAGTCTTTGTGTGTGTGTGTGTGTGTGTGTGTGAACATTGTATTACTAAACCCGAAAAAATAAATTGGGTGAAATTATTCATTTTCTGTGTAAAATACATAGAGAACCTTAGCGGTAGTTTATTGGGTTAATTTTAATATTGATAATACTTTTGTCTGTCTGTAACCATCAATTCCATGTCTCATGAGCAAATTGGTGAATAAATAGTTCAGAAAAACGTATTTAAAAAAGTCAATGGTAATTCTAATGTTTAAAATGTTATTTTTTTGGGATAGTTTAAACGACAGTTGTGGCCTTACTAATAATGTTACTTCCTTATAGAGTTTTTCTATCGGTATTACACCCGGGTCATATTCTCACTCATGGCATACGCAGATATTTAAATGGTCGGAAAAGTAACCATAATGTTTGTTTGCTAATTCTTTGGTGGAACAAGGAATGGTCAAAACAAGACCAAGTTACAACAGACAGGACAGTTATACAACAGTTACATTTATTCTCGCGTTTTGGATCTTTCTTTTTTTTTAACTTCATTGCACCTTTTGATTGTGATAACCCTTTTATCAGAACGTTTTGTAATTGGCAACTACGTGTTAAGTTTCGTTTGTTTTGAATTTCGCGCCAAACTACACGAGGGCTATCTGCGCTGGCCGTCCCTAATTTAGTAGTGATAGACTAGAGGGAGGGCAGCTATTCAACACCACCCACCGCCAACTCTTGGGCTACTCTTTTACCAACAAATAGTGGGATTGACCGTGACATTATAACGTCCCCACGGCTGAAAGGACGAGCATGTATGGTGGGACGGGGATTCGAATCCTCGAGTCGAGCGCCCTAACCACCGCTACGTGTTTGTGCGTTATGGTCAACGGGAAAGAGATAGTCTAGTATTTTTATTGTAATACACTATGTCTTCCTTAAATATTTTAGGATGAAAACTGGAATGACTCAAGTCATGAGAAAATGTCGCCGAATTATCGAGTGCAGTTCAAAGGTCACTTGTTAGAGCCGTGTCACACTCCTCTGTATGTTTAACAAGAATGTGATATATAGCAGTTATTAACTTACAACAACGAAAAAGTAATAATAGTGTTACCTAAATTAATAATATTTATGTATGTTAACTACAAATCTATAGCCAGGATCCATCTTTGAAATGTGCTTATTTTTAAAATATTCCAAGTCTTTTAAAACTCCGTAAAACTTGAAGAAAAAACAAAACAATTTCGCTCAAGGTCCTGCAAACTTCAGCAATTCAACAACTTTAATTCAATAAACATACGCTAAATATCTTCAGGAAGTTTCTAGCAAATCGTTTAAGGGTTTGTATGTTTGTTTGTTTTTAATTATGCACAAAGCTACACAATAAACATACGCTAAATATCTTCCAAAAGTTTCTAGCAAATCGTTTAAGGGTTTGTATGTTTGTTTGTTTTTAATTATGCACAAAGCTACACAAGGGCTATCTGTGCTCTACCCACCACGGATATCGATACCCGGTTTCTAGCGTTGTAAGTCCGCAGACATACCGCTATGCCACTGAAGGGTTAGGGTTTGTAAGCGCCTCAAACCAACTTCTATTTATGCTAGTTATTAATTTTACTAAATATTTATTTTATTTCAAAATTCATAACATTCTTAAGTTCTTGGTTATTTACGAACGTATATTGCGAGTTGTCACACAAGTAACATGGTAAATTACAATAATTAACATAATTAACACTGTTCTAATTATTACAAACAACACTTTGATGATGGTTTCTTATATTTTTCAATAGTCTAGTTTTCAGTAGAATAAAGTTATTATCCTATCCATTAAAAAAGTCTACTGGTGTCTTTGGTGAGCTCGTGGGAACGTAATCTAACAATTACGTGGTATTTATATGGAGTTTCACACGATATGTGTTAACACTGTGGCGTTGATGATAACATGCTGTAGTTTTAACGTACATTAACCGATTAAATGGTTATGACTTAATCAGTCTGTCATTGTAAAGTAACTACGTACAAGTTGTTTCACGTACATGAAGTTTGTTTGTAATTAAGCACAAAGCTATGAGCTATCTGTGCTCTGTCCATCACGGGTATCGAAACCCGGATTCTAGCCTTGTAAGTCCGCAGACATACCGCTGTGCCACTGGAGGGCTTACGTACATGGATAAAAGTTATGTGATTTAACATCCTTTTCGTAGACTTAAGTACAGACGTGTTGGAATGGGGACACATATTATTACTATATCAGTCCTTACCAGTGTATACATTACTATCTCAGTCCTTACCAGTGTATACATTACTATATCAGTCCTTACCAGTGTATACATTACTATCTCAGTCCTTACCAGTGTATACATTACTATATCAGTCTTTACCAGTGTATACATTACTATCTTATTCCTTACCAGTGTATACATTACTGTCTCAGTGTTTACCAGTGTATACATTACTGTCTCAGTCCTTACCAGTGTATATATTACTGTCTCAGTCCTTACCAGTGTATACATTACTATATCAGTCTTTACTATCTTATTTGAAACTGAAGTTTCGGCGCTCTAATTTGTCAAGTGTTCTGTTTCAAGAGTAAATAAAAACAAAATTAAGAGTAACAAATATTTTTATTTTTTGCTTTTGAAGTTCATATCTCATGCTGTGTTTGTAGCCTACAGAGTGCATAATTATTCTCGTGATTCATGACATGCACACGTTTTACTGACGTCACGACAGTATAAATTGTAACTTTAAGCGTTCCTTACGTGACGTCATTTTAGTCTCTGTTGACTGACTGACAGACTAAGCTCTTGAGCCGACAAGATATGATTTGCTGCTCCAGTAAATATAAACAAGGTCTGTTGTAATATTAGTGTCAGATACTGAAGGTGGATTATTAAAAGTACTAATGTTTATCTCACTTAAACCTACCTGTTTTCACCATCAGAAAAAGATGATTTTTAAAGTTAGAAATAACTAATTGTTGTTACAAGGAATGGAATTTGGCTGAAGAAGAATGAACGAGAAGCGAATGTAAGGTGTTTTAGAGTAGACTTTCTTACTTGTCAGATATTTTTCCACTGAGACCAATGGCCACAAGGTCAAACTTGTAGGACTTTCTTTTCTCACAGTCTAGCTCCATGGCTGCCACCATTATGGCAGCTCCACTGGTACGATCAGGAATGAATACACGAAAGGGTACTTCACCAGGGTACTTAGAAGTCAGTCTGAACTTGCTTACTAGACCTGTAATATTACCATGTTAAATTAAGGATGGTTTTATTGTGTACGTTTGCTCACTAAACTCGTACTAGTATTTATTCAGAAACTAGACAAACAGTCCAAAAGTGCGACCGTTAAATCAAACAATGCGACAACATTCGTAAGAAATCGTTAAAGGTTTAATGAAATTCCATAAACAGCGTATAGCACATCCTTAAAGTATTATATGATACATAGTTAACAATAAAGATGTTTCCATAAACAGAATATAGTACATCATTAAAGTATTATATGATACACAGTTAACAATAAAGATGTTTCCATAAACAGAATATAGTACATCCTTAAAGTATTATATGATACATAGTTAACAATAAAGATGTTTCC